TTGTTCGTGCGAAGCGCGTGGCGTTTCCGACGTCATTGCTATCTCATCCACGGTTTCTATGCGCGTCTCCACGTTCACTTCGGTTTCGCTATCTATGTCGAGTTCGTTTATGCTTGTACGCCTGCCTTTACGTGGCGTTTTTGCTTTCTTAGGCATAGTGTCGATATATGACCACTATCTATCGTCTGGTACCAAAATCTTTAGGAACTCTATTTTATCCACACTTTTGTGGTTAGGAAACTTTCTAGACCAAATTTAATCCGAAATAACTTTACTTTTGAAAAATTTCAAAATTCACTTTTATTCGAGATAACTACTTTACTTCTCGAAAATTATCCAGAAATTTACCATAACAGAAAGACTCTAATGATAACGACTCAAAATTGACTTTACCTAACCTCACAAACAGTCAATGGACAAACTTTGACCGATCGGTGTTAAATGTCCGATGGCTACTGGTAAGTCCACAGCTGAGTGTGTTTCGACTGTCGGTAATTTATCGTCACTCGCTGTGTTATCCACAAACTATCGCTATCTGACCTGGTTTGATGTCCTCTGCTTCTGCTGGTAACTCTGCTTTGATGTCTCTCTCCAGTCAGGAATTTCTTCTTTTAATTTATATTTTAGGTTCGCAGTTCATTAGAACTCTGCCGCAATATTCAACTCCTTTGTCGGCAAAGCGTGGATAACAAATCAATTAGGCGGTGTCCCCTTTGATGGACAATTCTTTTCCGCTCTCTCTTCACACGGCTATTTGTTTACGCGACTAAACTTTACCGGTATCCTTTGAAGGACAATACTTTTCCGGTCTCCTCTTCACACAACTGTTTGCTTACGAGACAAAACTTAGCCTTTGTCGGCTTTCAATAAATTCTTCGCGCGTTACGTCACTGTGACGTAATGTTCAACAACGTATCTTCGTTAATTTTTCGACCTGAGTATTGAAATACTGATGGGAATATTGTTTATTATAATTTCTTGATGTTTCGTACCCCAATACTCAGTTTTGCGCGCTCAAACGTCTCGCGTAATGATTTTATTCACTTTAATTCGCGTTTTCTACGTGCCGATTAAAATGTTATCCACTGTAGTACTTATTTATTCCACTTATTTATCTCTCTCTCTATTAATCGAACGTAAGCGACAGGAATCTCTCTCTGTGCAATGTGCTCTACGCTCGTACAACGTATTCTTCCAGGAAATCGTGAATAAATTGCAAAATTATGATCAGATTTTGGCAAAA